TTGAAGAGTACTCGGAAGCTACAGTTGTTGGAAATTCAGCTACTTGCCTGCTAATTGGTAATACAGAGATATTTAAGTCTTTGTTGCAGAAACTATCAATAGATTTCATGGTTCAGGGTGCTGATCACTAGCTCTAGATCTCCATTTGCCTTAGAACTTAGGTACTTCACATATTTGTAGAACTGGCCTGCCCGCAGAAGAGTACTTTTTTGTTATGGTGCCTTTTGGAACAGGTTGCCCAAAGTAAAAGTGGAGCTCTCCTTGTTAAGATTCAGTGACAAGGCTGCCCACACAATATGGTCCAAAACCTCTTAATCGTCACTGGAATGAAAGGTCTGCTTGATTTTTACATGCCTCATATGTGCATCCATTATGGCTGTTATCTTGACTTTTTGGACCGTTCTGGTTCATTCATGTGTTGCCGTAGATGGGCCTCTGGAAATCACCACAAAGGACATGTGATTTCTGACTTTTCAAACCCCTGGCTTTTGGGGAGGAGGTTAGGAAGATCTTTTCTTTTTCTCATGACTACAATAGCATAAACTGATATAAGGTAGCAACTACAGTCATATGCATGCAAAACAATAATTTGAATGCAAGATGCAGCAAAGAGCAACACCATGGTGGCTCTGAAATAAAGGCCTATAGCAGGGTTGCCAAACATGCGGCCCACGGGCCAGATGTGTCACATGCTGGCCACCCCCACCCCCCCAGTTTAGTGAAGGGGGGAAATGTCACGGTATGTCATGTGACAACATGACAACATGCACCCCTGGCCTATAGAGTAAATTCTACCACATGACAGAATGCGCAAAGTAATTTATTTGTTTATTTATTTTGTATGTTGCCCATCTCACCAAGAGGCAGCTCTAGGTGGCTTACAACCAAATAAAAACAAGATAAAACATTAAAACATAAAATAAATGTTAACACTAGAATTGATTAAAAATCATTAAAGGTGAGAAAAGAGAGCAAGATGCACGTGGGGAGGAGGTAGAATCTTATCTCGGTCATATCTGACCTCCAGAATAATATGCCTTTATTGGGGCCCCAAGCCAGATGGTAGAGCAGGGTCTTCAGGCTCTTTTGAATGAGTGCAGATCTCACCTTGAGGGGGGCACAATGTTCCAAAGGGCAGGAACCACAACCGAAAAGCCTCTTCTCCTGAACCCTACCAGCCAGAATTTCTTGATTTATGAGGTCCTCTCCTGGCAGCACAATGGGGTGGAACAAGGCCATTGGGGACAGACAATTCCTCAGATAACTTGGACACATGCCAAAAAGGGCTTTATAAATGACAACCAATACCTTGAATTGTACCCGGAAGCAAGCTGGCAATCATTGCAGCTGATGCAACAGCAGTGAAACATAGGCCACCCTAAAGGTTGCAAAAACTCTGCGTGGTTGCACCACCTGCAGTTTCCAAATACTCTTCAAGAGCAACCTCATGTGCTTATAAACTCTTATTATAAATTGAGCTAATTCGTGTTAATTTGGAAGTAATATCTGATAAATTGTGCCCTTTTTAGAAGTTCAGGATTTCAGCCTTAGCTTTGGATTGTGATGTGTGCTTCCTAGGCTGCTAACTTCATGTTTACTATCTTTCTACTGATTACATTACAGAAACCAATTGTAACTCAGGAGTGGAATACAACATGCTCAGCCTGCAAAAGATTTAACTTTCAATCTTTGATCTCTTCAATAGAAAAGAAATCAGGAAACAGCTCTAAAAGAAGACTGAGTAGAGCCCAGAGAGCTGCTGCTATTCAGAATAAACATCAGCCATCAAAAAGTAGTCTGATTTGAAATAAAGCAATTTCTTCCAGAAGAAATATTTGATGTTTTGCATAGCACTATTGGTTGATCTAATGTTAGGTTTTTACCTTACTCAGTTTGTTTTTTTCCTCAAATTGACAGGGTATACAGTGCAGCAGCTATTTTAAACCTAAGGAGTATAACAGACATTTTATTCGCTTTCTCTCCAATAAAATAGAAATGGCTTTCTACACTATCAGTTTTTAATAATATAAAGAATATATGTGTGTGTGTGTGTGTGTGTGCATGCGCACATGTGTGTGTGTATATATATATATGTGTGTGTGTGTGTATGTGTATGTGTATAATTAGAATATATATATATTCTACAATCTACTCACAATATTCATTAAAAAATGTTCCCAAATGTCCCACAAAGATTATGAAAAGTGCAAGCCTATACGTAAGTTCCCTGAAGCCAGTGGAATTAAGTCTAATTAAAACAGAGTCCACCTGTACAGAATTCTCTCCAGCTGGTAACTCTTAAGTCATGGAGTCAGCTGTCAGCATTTGTTTAATGTTTGAATGCCAATAGGGTGCCCACATAGGCATAGATCTCTACCCTACTAATGATGAATGCTTAAGTAAAGTGACCCAATTTACAGGGTAATCCTATGCATCTATCTATTCAGCAGTTAGTTTTACTCCATCCAATAACATATATTCAAGGTATGTGTTTGAACTTTCAACCTTACCTATATATTATCTGCATGAAATCATATTTTTTCCATATATGAACATCTTCGCATCTAAATAAATATGCAAGTGTTTATTCTCTGAACAACTGCTACCCATCTCCCCTCACAGGCAGCTCCACAATGTACTGCATGCTATCAAATTAATCTATAAATTTCTGCAAACCTTTCACAGTCTATCTATAATCTTTTCTCTAGTTCTTTGCTTCTGCCCATTCCATCTGCATGTTTGGTGGACAATGGCATCCTTGATATTATTCTATAGCTATATATATTTGCATATAATTCATTTACATGCATTTTATTGTATATAATTCATTTATTTGCATATAATTCATTTTATATTCTAGTTAGGGTTTTAAATTGAGAAAATGTTCACCTCTATGTTCTATTATGAAACAAATATGTACAGATTAATATTTGGGAAGTTTGAAAGCCAAACCCTGACATTTAACCATTGAGCCCTATGCTTTCATCAATATGTAGGAAATAATCTTGATAATTTTTAAATCTACCAATGTGTGTACAATTCACTTGATAGGGAGCCCTACAGATTCAGCAGGGGTTATTTTTGAGGAAAGATGCTTAGGGTAATGTCATTCTTGAAATCTCTCACTTATCATGCAAGAGAGAAATAGGAATTAAAATCAAACATCTTAGCCAATCAAGCCTTTTACATAAGTAGCCAAAAAAGCTAAATTAAACTACACCTGTATGGGGGAAGAGAACTCTTATACAAATTGTCCCTGCATTATTCCAAAAGAATTTGTCTCAGGTGAAAAAAAAGACACATATTCACATTTTTAAAAAATGATGTCACCTATTAGTTCCACTAAATTCCAAACTGTATGTTACTAATGTTTTGTCCTAGTAATTTCAAGCCATCAGCAGTTTATATCTTTACTGTATTTCACATTTCCTTAAAAAGATCAATGGCAATTTTATATATTTTTATATTTTACTGTAATTATTATGCAAATACAACATTTTCTACTGTCTTACTGTCCAGATTGCATTGGAACATTTTATGTTAAATACAACAGGAGTTGGAATTACATTTGGGGATGGGATGGTCTATCATCTGGCCCTTTATAAAAACTACATCAATCAATCAGACCAATGAAGAAGTATTTTCCACTTTGTTCATACACTCTTTTCAGACTTTCCTGGCTTGGTGTCCAGAGACATCATTTTGGCTCCAGTCTCATCATTCTCAGTCAATTAATTGTTGGAAATTGGAGAACAGTAACATCTAAAAACTGAAAAAGGTGGCCTTCTGATAAGTATCTGATGTAACGGGAGAGGATTATAATATTATCATAGTATTATAATTCTTCCATTTAAGGCCATTCACAACACTGTTTACAAGTGGATGGAAAATATAAGGATGAGCAATCTGTTTATCTTTACACAATGCTTATTTCTGTCTTCTGAAATTAAATCTCAAATATAGGCCATGTAAAGCATCCAAAATAAGACAGGCAAGTAAGTGGAAGCTATCTTGTTCTATTGTGTTAGAAGACCTGTATATTGGAGTTCAAATTACATAGTATATTCTAAATAATAAACTGGGATTCCCTCAGTCTGTAGGCATTGTCATATAAATCTGCACAAATACTGGTCCTATCCAAAACAATGGCTGGTCCTCCCCAATCTACCACACCAGATTAATATGTGAAGTGGATCTGAAATCTGAAGGATCAGATACAATAACTGTCACTTGAACAGAGCACAGCTCAAGGGAATTAAACACCCTTCCTTACCTGATAAAATTTGGGATTTAAAGCAGATGCTTAAAGTCAGCATTTTAAGGCTAGAGATGCTTTCTCTCTAAAAGTAAGTTTGGGAATTAGATCATCCATGAAAGAAGAAAAGACTTAGAAATAAAGAAATCACAAAATAAGTTTAAAAAAAAACTTTTCCAAGTGAAAACCCTTCAATAAAAATACTTCACAATTGCTTAAAAGCCTTTTTCTATACCATCACCTTCATCAGTGGAAGCCCGAAGATTCAGATATACCACTCATTTCTCTTGACACCCTTAAATCAATTGGGGGCATCAGGGCAAAGAGTTGACTCCAGTAATCACTGGAAACTAAGCTGCAAAGGAATCCCAGGTTATCTGTGCCCGGGACAGTGGGAAACTTCCCTATTATCACTGTTTGCAATCCGGCGAAATTGACCGAGGATTGTAGGTAGACTTAGTCAATGTATAAAATTGATTAAACCCCAATTTAGAAAAAATGGAAATCAACGGGAGAGATTTCCCGTTTGACTAATTTAATACATCGATTCTAATATGCTGTCGATCTGGGTCCTTCCCAATAAAAGCTGCCTGATCTTAGTCGGGGAAAAGAGACCAAACCCGAGATCCAAGCATCCTTCTAAATTACCGGCAGACAATGTATCCGAAAAAAGTTAGCGAACACGCCCTCTGTAATGCAGAGCCAAGCAGCTTCGGGAGGCCCGGCAAGCGCATTGCTCCCTTACCTGCACAACCCGATCTATATAGAAGCAAGTGTTCAATAGTACACAGTGTCTTTCTGGACGGCGATCAAGTGGGAATCTCCAGGACTCCTGAAAAATTCGCTTTCAGCAAAGGCGTTGTGCGGTGGAGGGGAAATGCTGCCAGAGAGGGGAGTTTCATGCCTCTGGAAAGCCGGGTTGCATCCTCCGATCGATGTCCGCAGAGGAGTGGGAAAATCGGACAAACACCTCCGCCTTAGGCGTGCTTCCCCCTCTTTCTGAAAAAGCGGGCGGGCACCCAGCCACAGAAGGAGCAGACGCTGGGCAGCGGGCGGGGAAAGGGGGAAGCTCTACTCGCGCGCCCCCTGGAGGACCCAGGCAATTACAACAAACACGCGCCCCGCCCCTTTCCCTTCCGACCAAGAAATTTTTTTACTTTTAGTTGTGGCAAGCCCGGGAGTTGAGCGGTCCCCCTGGGACTATTTCATTGCAAATAGATGCTTGCTCGTTCAAGCCCTTTCGTCCAGGCATTAAAATGTTCAGTGTACTGCAGCAGAGAGCTGGCCAAACGAGCAAACAAGGAAAAAAATGGGATTAGGAACTGAAGTAAAGTTTGAGTTTTCTGGGGAGAGTCTTTTCCTTTCCTCTTTCCTATATTACTGCTTGGTTATTTCAGTGCATCACATTTTTATCAATTTAGGAATTTATAGGAGGACACAGTTGCCAAGTAAATTGTAGATTCAATTTTTTGTTATCTGGTGTTCTCCAAATGTTTATTACTACAATGCTGATCTCTGATAGAAGTCAGATACAGATTAACATCGTTGGAAGGATCTTGCAGGGTCATATGGTCCACACACCCCAAGCAAACCCCACACCATTTTTGACAGATAGCAGTCCAGTCTCAAAACTTCTAGTGATGAAGCTCTCACAACTTTTGAAGGCAAGCTGTTCCATTGCTTGATTGTTTTCACTGTCAGAAAATTTCTCCTTATTTCGAGGTTGAATCTCTCCTTGTTCAGTTTCCATCCATTGTTCCTTGCTTTGGAAACTGGGTTGACCCCCTCCATATGGCAGTCCCTCAAATACTGGAAAACTGCTACCATGTCTCCCCTGATCCTTCTCTTCACTAAACTAGCCATGCCAGTTCCTGCAACAGTTCATTTTATGTTTTAGCCTCCAGTCCCCTATTATCTTGGGTTCTCTTCTCTGCATCTTTCTAGAGTCTCAGCATCTTTTTTATAGTGTGGTGACCAAAACTGGATGCTGTGATGACCTGGGGTGTGGCACAAAGGCAAGATGACTATAATAAGTATGTAATAATAAGTAGGAGTCCCTTTATTAGCTCCAATTTTTCCCCCAATGTCCTGGCTACCTTGGAGAAAAACTTTCCCAGGAACAGCCTTTAGCTACAGAGATTCAAGTCCAAAATGTGGTCAACAAAAACTTTAACTATAAGTCCAATCAAGGCAAGATACGTCCAATCAAGGCAAGATGCCATTAATCTGGCAGTGCAAGAGAAGGAATTCCAGGCATGAAGGAACAGCAATAAATCAACCCAGTTAGGAGGATGCCAGGAAAACAGATAACCGAAGTCAACACAAATTAAACTCACGTTTGTTCCCAGAAGACGTCACTCTCAGCTTGCATCTCTTTGAAACTCTCTTCCCAGATATGCCTAATGAAGGGAATCAGGGCCCTTTCCTCCCCCATAAACCATGCAAGCCATTTTGCTCTTTTATCCGTTCCTCCCTGTGTGCCCTAGGATGAAGAGGGGGTGGGCCTGGGTCTTTGTCTGAACTCCCTCTCCTTTGTTCTACCTCTCTCCTGCTCTGCCCAGCTGGACGTTGCCCTTCCCCAGCCACTCCTTGTCATCAGATTCCAACAGGGACATGGCAGATGCAGTATTCTAGGTGTGGTCTTACTAAGGCTTTATAGAGTGGTATTAGTACCTCACTTGATCTTGATTGTATCCCTCTGATAATGCAATTAGGATTGGATTGGCTTTTTTGGATGCTGCCTCACACTGTTGGCTCATATTTAATTGGTTGTCCACTAAGTCTCCCAGATCCCTTTCATAGTTACTGCTATTAAGCCTGGTTTCATCCAGTCTATATGTGTACCTTTGGTTTTCTTGCCTAAGTGTAAGACTTAATTTTTCTCTACATTGAATTTCATTTTGTTAGCTAGTGTTTAAGTCTGTCAAAATCCATCTGGATCTTAAGTCTATCATCTAGGGCAGGGGTGTCAAACTCAAGACCTGGGGCCTGGATCTACCCTGCAGGGTACTTAGATCTGGCCTGCGGGGCCACCCTGGAAACAGCAAAGGACTGGCCCGTGGTGTCTCTGCCAGTGAAAATGGAGCTCACGACCTCTGTTTTCATTGCCAGAGGATTGCAGGAGGACGTTGCAGCTGAAAATGGAGGTTGGGAGCCCGTTTTTACTGACAGAGTGCTCAGGCCACCAGAGGCACCTCTGACATGAGTGAGGTCAAGCTGGCCATGCCGAGCCTGAGGATATCCCCCCAGCATCCCAAGGTCAAACACAACCCTGATATGGCCCTCAATGAAATAGACTTTGACATCTCTGATCTAGGGTGTTGGCAATTACTGCCAGTTTAGTATCATCTGCAAATTTGGTAAGTTCCTCTTTTATTCCCTCATCTAAGTCATTTATAAAGATATTGAAAAGTACTGGGTGTCTAGCCACATCTCTCAGAGTTTAGAAAAAGATGGAGTGAATATGCCAGTGCTATCTGGGTGTAGCTGACTCTGAGACACATCATTCATTTCACCCTTGGTCCTCTGCATGTATATTCTCCAATGGGACACATCCATAGCCAAGAGTCTCTCATGCTCTCCAGTAATAATCTTGCATATCAGAAGCTTTGGCCACCTAGCAATTATATATGAAAGCATTTAAGGAATGCACTATTTCCCCCACTCCCTTTCTGCTAGCAACTCTAAAAGACCAGAGAAATATTTTTGAGTTGGCACTAGGCTTAGGACAGAACCTTGTGGTACCCCACTGCATACTTCCCTCTATGTAGATGTAGATGTGTGTAAGGACTACTCCTTCAGAACAGTTTGTCAGCCAACTGTAAATCCATTTGATGGTGATGCTATCTATCCCACTTTTTCTAGCTTACCAAGAAGTAGGCTGTGGTCTACTTTGTCAAATGCCTTTCTGAAGTCTATCCACAGTATTTTGCTGGTCTACTAATTTAGTCACTATGTTAAAAAATGAAATAAGATTGGTTTAGCATGATCTGTTTTTAACAAACCCATGCTGGCTGCTAGTTATTACTTTACTCATTTCTAGATGTTGGCAGATATGTTTTTAAAATACCTTTTTCAGTATTGATGTTAGGCTGATTGGTCTGTAGTTTCCTTGGTCTGTTTTGTTCCCTTTTTTGTAGATGGGAACCACAGCAGTTCTTTTCCAGTCCTCTGATAGTTCCCTGGTGCTCCAGGATTTTAGAAGATGTGTTACAGTGATTCTGGGATGACATCTGCCAGCTCCTTTAGAATTCTGGGATGTAATCAGGGATGGGATAAACCGGTTTGGATCAGTTCTATAGAACCAGTTGTTATAATTCTTCATGAACTGTGCAGAAGAACCGGAAAATTGTGCCCCCAGGCTGGCCTCGCCCCTCCCTCCCCACCTAGTCAGCCCTTATCACACTTGCACAACATTGTGCGCCTGCCCTCCATCGCTGATTGCATTCTTCCCCGCCCAGTCATTCCTTAAGGTATTTCTTCCCCTCCTGATGATCAGCTGTTTCTATGATCAGCTGTGCTAGGATTCCCCTCACTTACTTACTGCTTCGCCCCGGAGGCTTCCCAGAGGCCCAGGAAGGCAAAAAATGGAGGGGGCGCACCTCCTCCCCCCTCCATTTTTTGCCCTCCTGGGTCCCAGGGAAGCTTCCTGAGAACAAAGGTTCCTCCCCAGGAGGCTTCCCTGAGGCTTCCCTGAGGTCCAGGAGGCCCCAAAATGGAGCATACATGCCCCCCCATGCTCCATTTTTTTTCTTCCTGAGTCCCAGAGAAGACTTCTGGGAGAAAAAATGCCCCCCAGGAGGCTTCCCTGAGGCCCAGACGGCCCCAAAATGAAGCACAGGGGGGTGCTGCTTGTTCCCACCCCCCATGCTCCATTTTTTTCCCTTCCTAAACCCAAGGGAAGCCTTCTGGGAGCAAAAATATTCCCCCAGAAGGCTTCCCTGAGGCCCAGGAGCCCCCAAAATGGAGCGCAGGGGGGTGCTGCCAAAAAAAAGGAACCACACCCATCCAGTCACATGGCCATGCCCACTTAGCCACACCCACAGAACCAGTTGTTTTGTTAAAAAATTTCAATCCTACCCCTGGATATAATCCAATTACAATTTCTTTTTGCTTATTTTAACTTTTATTTCTAGTCTGTCTTTTACAGTTATGTTTTGGTAGGTTGGACTATTGTTTCTCTTTGCGTGAAGACTGATGGAAAGAATGAGCTAAGCAATTCTGCTTTCTTTCTGCTGCCTGGTACTTCTTTGCTGTCTTCTCTCTTTAGTGGGTTTAGTGGACTGACTGTTTCCTTGATTGAGCTTGTGGTTTATTTAATATCTTCACTAAAGGTAGCAAAAAATTGAGATTTTTTTTCATTCCTTTATCTGTGTCTTGCATATAGCAGAAGTATGAGAATTACTTAATAGGGAAGCTTCACTTCCAATCCTCTGAATAAAACAAGTCAGTGAAATCTTTGAAAAGCTTTGGAGATGCCTTTTAACTCTACCACTGTGAGAAGTACATAAAAATGAATTAACAGACTTTTGATAATCTGATTGATAGGATGCTTTATTAGGGAAAATACTGCAGTATGGACCCCTTTACTCCAGGAAAAAAAAAATTTCTAGGAGGAAGGAGGCATTTCCATTTAGTGAATACAGTATATATATGTTTATCAAATCACATGGTTACATAACACATCCTGTTTTCCATATATGGAAATTATACAACGTTTTCATAAGAAAGTTCCAACCTTCCATGGACAACTCCCAACATTCTCATTATAGTCAAATTTCATGTTATTCACCAGAAGATTATAAGAAAACCATTAATATCTCTTAATGTGATTTATGATGTCAGAGTGCCCCAGCACATACCTCTAACTTATACCAAGTACATAGTTTTGCAATCTTGTATAATTTCTAGCAGCAAACACATTACATAAATGTTCTGAGCTTCAGAGGTTCAGACTGCGAACACAAAATGGCTTCAGT